AAAAAAAAAAAAAGAAAGAAAATACAAATCATTAATGCCAAAAGCATACAGCCTTCATACCATACACCACATGGCAAACTTACCACCTTTTTCCACAAAATGCTAGCACTTTCAGGAAATATCAGAGCCGCCACAAGCTACACACATCATCAAAATCTAAGGTAAATAATTTTCATTTTGTATGTACATGCTTGCTTTCTTGGTATTTGAAGTCCGTAACCTTCAAATATTGAGCCTTAGGTTCTCAGGACTTCATAGTTTTTTCCTGCTGCTATTCTATTCATTCTCCTTAGATATTCTCTTCTATGCTATTCTAAGAAAATTAACCTCCCCCTCAAATGATAAACACTCAATTCTTCTACATGTTTATGTTCTATCATACTGACTAGATTGCAACTTTCCTCTAGCACAATGTCTCACATACAAAGATTTTCTCACTAATCATTAATATTCTGTCTCCAATTCTTTCACAGAATTTATTTCAAGTATAAAGCTCAGTAATAATCTTCGTCACTTCTTTTTTTTCCCCATGAATTACCTATTTTCACTTGGATGGAGAGGGGAGTATTACCAAAAGTAAAAAGAAAATTTACTAACTAAGACAGGCTAGGACAAATAAATGACAAAGAAGTTTGGGTACAATGTGGCTGTTTTCTTACTCCCAAGATGTGAAGGAGGGAGGACACGGTAAAGGTGGCCAGGTAGATGAGAGTCAGGATTGCCTTTCACAACTGCCCTGGCAACTTCAAAGAGCAGGACTGACAGGTTCCTGAAGGAACAAATTAGACTTGATATTAAAGGTATTTTTGTTGACTTTGGTGTTAATGGCTTGAAAAGACATGTAAAAATTAAAAGTAGGACACCACCCCAGCTGATCCATATTTTGGTCACAATTCATTCAACGCTTTTACTTCATATTGTTTTTCTAAGAAAATTTCAATGGCAAAAAAAATAAAAGAGAGGAAAATTCAAATTTAATGGTGTTGATATAAAGAAATATTTAAAATAATTTCTTCAATTATGCTAATATGACCCTATATTATTATAAACCTTATCTCCCAAAAATATACAATACTTGTTCTGTCCAGAAAATATGACACATTTTTTAATTTTCTCTGTGGAAGCTTTATTTAAGTTGAGCACAAACCAAAAAAAATATTTAGAAAGTAGTGACCTTAATATGAGCACCAACAGGAAACTTACCTGAATTTTAACATTTGCCATAAATAACCCAGGCAAGGGAGGGGGATTTACATGTAAAAATTGAAGACTGACTACTTACAGGTGAATTGAAAAGTTTAAACATGAGGAGAGAAAGAGAATAAGGAATAGGACGGCTTGGAAGTTCTCAAACTTGCACAAGTTCAAAGGTATGCATTGTTTTTGTTTTTGACCAAAGTAGTGTGACTTATCTTACATTTCCTACACAGGAAAAGAAATTTAAAAAAAAAAATTTTTTTTTTTTTTTTTTGAGACAGAGCCTCAAGTTGTCCCCCTGGGTAGAGTGCCATGGCATCACAGCTCACAGCAACCTCCAACTCCTGGGCTCAAGCAAGCCTCCTGTCTCAGCCTCCCAGAAAGCTGGGACCACAGGCACCCACCACAGAGCCCAGCTATTTTTTGGTTGCAGCCATCATTATTGCTTGGCGGGCCCCGGATGGATTTGAACCCGCCACCTTAGGTGTATGTGGCTGATGCCTCAGCCAAGAAATTAAAATTTATGCAGCAAAAATCATTTCCCACAATAGTACATTAAAGTTAAACCTTCCTTTAACATTTTCTTGAAGCCTGAAATCCATAAAGTCATGTACAGAATGCACTATTAATGAAGATCAAAGCACAAGCATTCAAATTTGTTGGTTACTACATAGACAAGGTTAGATTCATTATGTGAAGACTTACAGATATCAACTAGACTAGGTATTAAAGCAACATAACAGCAGAGACAAAAAGATGCCAAAGAATATAAGCATGTAACTGCAGAAATGTAGACTCAGAAGGAATCACCAGAAACTATGGTTCACTCCTTCTCGTCATTCTACTGTTCATGTCGTCTCTCAGAGGCTTCCCTGACCACCTCATCTAAAATAGCTGCCCCTATCACACTATTCCTGCATACTGATTTATTTTTTCCTCACAGCAGTTGCCACTAACGGCCATTATATTATGTAGGTGTGTTTGCTCGGGCCATTATATTATGTAGATGCGTTTGCTCCATCATTTGCTTCCAACTAAAACATATGCTCCATGAGGGCAGAACCTTTGGTCAGACCCAAAGGCACAAAGATGGCACTCAACATGTGCTGAATAAATGATGAAGCTGAAACCCAGAGAGGTTAAAGGATATCATCAAGGTCATAGAGCTAGCAACAAGCACAGCCCCGTCTACTATAACCCTGTTTGCTCATTCCACAGCCACTTCCACTACACCAAAGCAGCCTATTCCAGCACATGATTCTATTTAACAGACTTCTTCTCTTCTTTTTTTAAGTGCCAAAGAAAATACATGTTACCAAAAAAAGTGACACACTGGGTAGCATTCTAATTTCAAGTGTTTCACCAAGACTATACTCAAGTTTCCTAAGTATACAGGATTAGCCTGCAAAACAGAAAGGCACAACTATTCATAGTTCTTGAAGTTCCCTCTGAAATTGGTGTATGCCTTAGAAGTTTTAAGAACAACCACTGAAAATCTACCTACCAATTCAGAATAGCCTGTTAAGTATCAGCCTCACTTTCATTCTTTTAAGAGCCCACAGTATCTCCTCCATGGACACACTTATCTTGCAGAGTATGCAGGGCAATTCAACCAATGTTAAAGTAACTTTACTTCCTTTTAAAGTTCAAGTTAATCTCCCAAAATATTAACATAAAATTAACCCTTGGGAATTTTAGATTCCGAGACCAGGAACCATCTCTGAACCATTATCTGATTTTGATAGGTCCTCCATTCAAAATCCATGAATTTGAAACACCTAAAGAAATGCGAGAGGGAAGAAGGTGGAGAAGAAACATTTACATACTTGAAAAGGGAGCTGATATTTTAATAATGTTTTTACCCAAAGTCAGCTTCTCGCCTAGTCAAGGCCTCACTGACACAACTTATGTTTTCTTCTTTGCCCACCTTTCTTGCAGGGAGGAGAGCCAACTGCTAATACCCTTTGCAGAGAACGTAGACACAAGGTGAGACTGGCTACAGGAAAGAGGATGATTTGCTCAGCGTCTCTCAAAACTACTGTCAGCCCAATTAGTAAACTGAGAGGGAAGTCCTAAGATGTGGGATGGCAAAAGAGTTGAAATGAGAATGGGAGTTAAAAGTGGAAGAAGCAGACGAAAAGGCGTGAGAAGAGTAAACAACGCATCAGGAGCGACAGAGTGAGAACAGGGGTCGAAGGAGTGGGGTCAGCGAAAAGCAAAGGTGAAGGGAGCAGGGGTTGAAGTTCTGGTGGGATGGGCTGGAGCAAATGGAGAGAGGACGAAAGAGGTCTGGGAGAAGGGGAGACGGGTTGGGGCGGGGCGGGAGGGAGCGGAGAGGCGGGATGGAGAGGGCCAGGCCGGGAGGGTCCTTACCTGCAGCTCCGCCCGCTCCACCTCCCACTGGGCTCTCTCCACCTCGAAGCGGGCCCACTCGTGCTGCAGGAAGTGCAGGATCCCCGGGAGGCTGTACTGGGCTCGGGCCGCCCCCGTCGCAGCCGCCCCGTCGCCGACCGCGGCAGCCTCTGCCAGAGGCCCGAGCCCCTTGGCACCGCCGGCGCCTGGGTGGTTGTTGCTGAAGAAGACGCCAGGACCCGCCTGCTCGTCCATGGCGGCTGCAGAAACCCGGGGAGCTGTCCCGGCGCCCAGCAGCGGAGGCAACGGCGGCGGCCAGCAGCGCCTCCTCCTCCCTCCGCCGCTCCCCGCCCACACCCCAGTCAGCAGGGAGCAGCCGCCTGGGCGCGGGGGCCGGCCGTGCCCGTGACGGGCCGGGAAATGGGTCAACTGCGGCGCGGGGGCGGCGCGAGGCTTGCCGGGAGATGTAGTCGCGGGGCGGGGCGGGGCGGGCGCGCCCGAGTGGCCTGTGGGGCTGCGCCTCATAGCGGGCGTGGCGGTGGGCCCGCCCCTAGCCCGCCCCAGCTCCGCAGGGCGGGGGCCCGACGGGCGGGGAGCGCGGGTTTCCTCTCGGCCGGCCGGGCTCAGCTCCGGTCTCCCTCGCGCGCGGAAGTTCGCGGGCGGCGCTCCCTGTTGCACACACGCGGAAGTTATCACGTCAAAACAGCAGCCGGAGCTGCACCTCTTAGGGCTTCCTGATCGTTCTGTTAAGAAACATGGTTAAAGCCAGCTATCCGGTCCGGCAGCACCATATGGGTTCCCCTGCCAGCAGCGCTGAGTCCTCTGCCTTCGGAGTTTCTCGACCCGAGACCCCTCGCTTCTGCCAGTCTGCGTCTCGGTGTCGCTCCTGCCTTTCTTTCGCTCTCGAGGGGTTCAAACCTGTTGGCTGATCAGTTTCCACGTTTAGGGAACTTAGATACCCTATTCTGCTTGGCTGGACGCAGCAGCTTTCTCCTGCAGCTTCCAAATTCTGGTTCAAAACTTGTCTGAGAGGGGGAGAGGGCTCGATTAAGTACAATGTAGGGGCATATGGCACACTCCCTTCTGGGTGAAGGACACAACTAGATGTTGGACTTGGGACTTTACCTTACAAACTCAAATAATGTAACTTAATCGTATGCACGCTCATGCTAACTCGGAAAATAAAAAAAACCCTCAGCTGAAAACTGCTCTGTTAAAGTTTCCTTTCCCTTTGTAGTAATCCTGCAGGAAATCCTGTAACAAATGATATCTGTTATTTCAGTCTGGTTTTTCCTTTCTTATCCTCGCGCATTTTTTACTAAAGAGAAAAAAATATTTTTTTTTCTCAGTCACCCAGGCACAATCATGGCTCACTACAACCTCAAATTCCTGGGTTCAAGTGATCCCACCAACGCCACCCCAGTAGCAGGGACTACACACAGGCTTGAGTCACCAGCTAACGCGCCTGCCTAATTTTTTTTTCTTTTTTCGAGACAAGGTCTCACTATGTTGCCTAGGATAGCCTTGAACCTCTGGCCTCAAACAATGGTCCCACCTCCGCCTCCGCCTTCCAAAGTACTGGGATTGTAGACATGAGTCACCACACCCAATGTGGGTTCAATTTAATTGAACAAATATTTTGATTTTCAGTTATATCCCATCCTGGGAATATAAAGATAAATAACACAGTCCCTGACATTGAAGAGATATTTGTGTATATATACACATATATACATATACATTACATACATATATACCTATATGTGCATATGTATATACATATATATACACAGTCTGTATGTATATAGACTATAGACTATATATATAGTCTCATAGAGCCTTAAAGCTACACTACCTGAAAGAACAAGATCCCTTTCTGCTTCCTAGATCAGTTTAAGTCTTCAGGCACTTCTTTTTCATTTATCTTGTTCACAGCTTCTTCCAAGGTTCACCTGCAAACTAGCAAAAGTATTAGCCTATGAAAGGTACACGGAAGTTCCTTCTTAATTGACTCTGTAAATGATTTCCACACTTGATCTTAGCCAAAAGGCCGAGAAGCAATGTAAATGATTTCCTTCTCCAAAGTCCCTGATATTATGGCACCATAAATTCACACTACAACAATAGGAGAAAGAAGGCCCCTGAAAAAAATGTTTAATAAATGCGAATGAAATTAAGCACTTATTTTGTCACCCTAAGAAGTTATATGTTGTTCTTATGTTTTGTAGAATGAATTTATGGGCTGTTAGAGTTGATGTCCATGAAACAATGTAAAGATACAGGCTGATGAGTGATATGTGAAGAAAAGACATCCTGTCCCTGTCCTCTCTCCCTCCTCCCCTTCCCATGGCTACTTGTGGAAAGGACAGGAAACACTTTGTATCTGTTCTGGTTGCAAATAAAGATGGCAAACTCTCTTCTCTCAATTATTTGATGTTTCTGTTTTATGAATTCATTCTTTATTATCATAAAAGGTTGATCCAAGCCTGGCTAAATTCCCTATGTTACAAATTATTTTGGCTGTCAAAGTTCTTTGAGACACAGCCCAGTCTTCTCATTTACAGCTCTTTGAGACTTGCTCACATGAGGCCTTCAGTAACTGGCAGAGCCAAAACTAGCAGAGCCAAAACTAGCACTCAGAAGTCCGGACTGCTAGTTCAGTGATCTTTTCATTAGCAGGTTGACACCTCTCTCACTTAATAGACCTATCAGGGTACCAAGGGGACAATAATGCAATAATGGCATATTTCTTTCATCTGAGAGATTTAATTAATCTTGACAGTTTGAATGTTAACAGGTATTTTGTCTCTAAGAGACATGTCTAGCAATTATTTTAAATCAAATCATGACAAACTATAAAATAATTAAATTTATAAACTTGACTATTACACATGTGCAAAAGTACTGTTTTCATTCACAATTCAACTTTATTCCCCACAATATCTTTTATTTTTCAAAGATTTATTTACACTCAAAACAGTATTGATCATTTATAATATCATGACACATTCATACAATATGCCAAAATATTAAGAGTGGCTATAAGGGCGGCCCCATATACTGAGGGTAGAAGGTTCGAACTGCAACAAAAAAATAGCCAGGTGTTGCGCCAGCGCTTGTAGTCCTAGCTACTTGGGAGGCTGAGGCAAGAGAATTGCCTAAGCCTAGGAGTTGGAGATTGCTGTGAGCTGTGACACCACAGCACTCTACTGAGGGCAATAAAAGTGAGACTCTGTCTCTTAAAAAAAAAAAAGAGTGGCTATATATAGTAAGGTGGAATAATAAAAAAAACTCTTTACTTTTTCCAAAAATGTCCATATGTAGCAATATTTCTTTTGTGATTTGACAAAAACATTACTTTTGAAAAGACAACCTTCCCTTAGAGTTCTTTTGCCCTAAATTGTGTTAAAAAAAAAATAAGAACCATGATTTCCATCATTTTCTCCTCTAGCGAATCAGCTTCTGAAACTGTTAGTTTTGAGTAGTGAGCCTTTTGGTGATTTCCCCCCTTGTACCTATCTCTTTTAAAAAAAAAACTTTTTGTATTCAACATGAATTTTTTTAAGTAAACATCTTGTCAAAAACAACATACAGTTGGTGCCTATAGCTCAAGGAGTAGGGCGCCAACCCTATATACCAGGGGTGGCAGGTACAAACTTGGCCCCAGCCAAAAAAAAAAAACTATAAAAAAATAAAATTAACATACATACTAAAAAAGCTCACAAATGATAACACCTCAATGAACTTTCACAAACTCAACATAACTACCACCTGGATCCTGAAACAGAATGTTGCCGGCATCCTAGAAGTTGCTCTTCATCTACATTCTGATTCACTATAGCAAAAGTGTTTTGAATTTGAAAAACAAAAACATAAGGCACAAGCCCCATATGCCAGAGGTGGTGGGTTCAAACCCAGCCCCGGCCAAAAAAAAGAAAAACAAAAACATTCTGGGTCAGGTACAGTGGCTCATGCCTGTAATGCTACCACACAGGGAGGCCGAGGCAGGGGTGGGGTGGGGTGGAGGTGGTGGGCGTGGTGGTGGTACAGGTTCAAGAACAGCCTGAGCAAGAGCCAGACCCAGTCTCTAAAAATAGCTAGATGTTGTGGCAGGTGCCTATAGTCCCAGCTACTCAGGAGGCTGAGGCAAGACAATCTCTTGAGCCCAAGAGTTTGAGGTTGCTGTTAGCTGTGACGACACAGTACTCTACTGAGGACAATAGAGTGAGACTTGGTCTACAAAAAATAATTCTGAAAAATTAATAACTAGAAAGGATATGGCATTTGTAATTAGTCAAACCTAAGTTTTATTTGTCACTACAATTTTCCAAATTTGGAAATCTTAGTCATATGGTTTAATTTTTTTCATTTTCAATTCTTTCATTTTTAATATGGGAATCATATTTACCTTATTATAATGAATTCAAATGAGAAAAAGAAATGTGAACTACTCTAGAATAACATCTAGTATATAGTATATATTGAATTACATTTATTACTATAGTAGAGTTTACAAGATTAACTGAAATAACAAATGTAAAAAACCAGCCCTTGATAAATAAGGGGCTCAGTAATTGGTCTTTCTCCTTTCTCATGCCCTATTCAGAGCTTTAATTTAGTAGAGTTAAAATAGTCTTAAAAACAAAAAATATTAATGCTCTTGCCTACTCATTTAGCCTCAGACCTCCAGGTATGGTTGATTTGCAGATTCTTTATAGTTAATAAAGCCTAAGTGGGTGACATAAAAACTGAGTTCTCTTATTTGGCACGCAGAGCAATTATCCAAATATTGACTTACATATTAGAATTTTAATTTTGTAGTAGTTGATATTATTATTTTTTTGAGATACAGTCTTACTCTGTCACCCTGGGTAAAGTGCTGAGGCATCCTCGTAGCTCACAGTAACCTCAAACTCTTGGACTCAAGTGATCCTCCTGCCTCAGCCTCCTCAGTACCTGGGAACATAGGTGCCTGCCTGCCACAACACCTGGCTAGTGCTTCTAGTTTTAGCAGAGTCGAGGTCTCACTCTTGCTCAGGCTGGTATTGAACTCATGAGTTCACACAATCCACCTGCCTAGACACCGCACCACCCCCCACCACCCCCACCCCACCCCCCGCCTGAGCTCAAGCAATCCACCTGCCTCAGCCTCTCAGAGTGCTAGGATTACAGGCATGAGCCACCGCATCTTGGGAATATTAATGGTGATCAATTTCAGATTCTATTTCTCTAAGTCTAAGCAAAGATAAACTGGTTTTTGAACAGATGCTTTTTTTCCCCCATTAACTCTATCCCTTCTCTCCTCCTTTTCTCTCCTAAAATTTCCCGTGAATGAAAGCACTATT